GAACAATGGAATATTGTAAGTGCTCAGGCAGCGTTGTCGAGGAAGATGTGGTGGTAGGCTGGGACTTGCTGGTTGATTGAGTGCTCGAGGCTAATGCTAGACAATGTTGTGATATGCCTGGATTTCACCGTTGTCTTCGCTGGTTGGATGATGGCGGTGCTGTACCGTTATCGTAAGGTGAGGCAATACCGACAGGCCTATGTAAAAGGTTGGGAATGGGGTTCGAGTAAAAGTTATAGCCTGCGTTCAGAAGTACTGTCTTGGTTTACTTTGTGGCTGCCATGGTCTCGTCGAGAGGCGATTGGGGGTTGGGATAATAGGGTAACTGGGGGTTGGAAGATCGACGATGAGCTGGTGAAGCTTTGAGCCACTGGTTGGGGGTGACAATGATCCGGAGAATATGCGTGTTTGGCCATGGAGATGGCCCTTTACGACTTCATGTCGACTATGCCAGTTCGCCGACCCAGGTGGACTTTGGTTGGTTTGACTCGCTAATTCGGCAAGGTCCAAATTTTGAAAGACAACGTCACGACGACAGAAATATTGAGCGATATACTGATGAGAAACGTAGGTCTATTATTATCCATTGTGTTACTCAGGTTGAGAGCAACGAGCACCTTGCCCAACTACCAAGCCAAGCCAAGCCAAGCCATCCAGCAGCCAAGTAAAAAAGTTCCAAAACGCTGTGATGAAGCCCAAGATAACAAGCAGGTGATCAATCCGACTGCCTTGAATCAAGGCTGACTGAATGTCCACCCTACGCGAATGAAGGTTTCACAAGCTGATGAATGGCCGGGCCCAACGTGGGTTGATTGTTGGGCAGGCGACTTCTTTCCCTCAAAAACCAAATGCCCAACTCTTTTCTCTCTGCCCTGCTGACGTCCTGATTCCAAGCCAGTTGGTATCCAATGTCGAAGTATCTGCGTATCTATTCGTCCAATTTGTTAGCGCTAATGTTTCTTGATTTTTCAAGGAGATTGCGAGAACAATGAAGTGTTTGGTGAAGATATGTCAGACTGTTGAGCTTGATAATTTGATTTTTAATCAACATGATTTATTCTGTTGGCCGTTCTTAAGAGCAGATTTTGTCATCATGATAATTGGGTGGGAAAGAAAAGAAAATGGGGGGTGTGTGTCTTACCATTCAAATGCAGGTTGCGTGAAGAAAGGAAGAGGAAGTTTGGGGGAGATAAATTTTGGAGGTGAATTGTTTTATAGCCAATGGAAAGGTGTGGATTGGCGGACTGGGGACCCGGGAGCTTAATTTTTTTTTGGGTGGGCAGGGTGGGTGCCTGATCGATCAGGCAGGGAGCGAAGTGAAGTGAGGAGTGACACAAGGTAACGAAAGTGGGGTTGAATCTTTTGGGCTGCGGCGGGCGGTGGGACTGGGCTATGGTGCGGTTGCCAGGCGGGTGGTGCCTGGGGTAGAGTTCGAAAGTGATCTTCTGATATCTCTCCTCTCCTTCTCCTTCCCCTCCTTCGCGAACTGTTGTTATTTTTTTTTCGACCGACCGAGACAAACGGAATTACGGAGTTTATTTGACCGCTGCGAAGCAAAAAGATAAATCGGCAAGATGGCTTGTAAGTTTTTTCTGCAAAAGATGTTTGTGTGCGCAGCGCAAAAGGGGGGGGGCTGCTGGAGGGAGGGGTTGGGAAAATGGAGATGGGCTGGATTACCCCGCCATGGGTGGTTTGTGAGAGAGGGCGAGTGTCTGTGATGATGGCTTGTTGTTTGCGCGCGCGCAAGGGTTTGGGAAGGATTATTGGAGCTGAAGCTGACATTATGGCAAATAAGTCGACTTCCAGGGAATTGCGAGTGAGTTTACCACCATGACGACGGCACGATCGCGAGAAGGAGAAAGCTAATTGCGCGTTTTCCCGTTTACAGCGCAGTTCGTCACGCACTATTACACCACCTTTGATTCCGACCGCAAGGGCCTGGCTGGTCTCTACGTATGTCTATTGAGAGAGCGAGGAAGATGCGATGGAGTGGGAGGTGATGGTGTGGCTAATATGAGAACAGAGAGAGAACTCCATGTTGACTTTCGAGTCTTCGCAATCGCTTGGTGCCGCTAACATTGCTGAGAAGCTTGTCGTAAGGATTATTCTTATCATGGGAGATATGATGGACGATGAGGTGTCTAATGAGGTGTGATAACAGGGCCTCCCATTCCAGAAGGTTCAGCACCAGCACGATACCGTTGATGCCCAGCCTACTGCTACCGGCGGTATCGTCATTCTCGTCACCGGCAAGCTTGTGGTAGGTTTTGACAGCACTTTCAGCGGAGATATGGTCAGGGCTGATATGATTGCGCAAACAGGTCGACGACAGCCCCAACCCCCTTACTTTCTCCCAGGCTTTCCAGCTGTGCCAGGATCCCCAGGGCCAGTGGTTCGTCTTCAACGACATCTTCAAGCTCATCTACGGTTAAACAAGTCGAAGGAAGCCTGAGGGAGGGAAAGAGACATCTTTTAGACGGAGCCGTAAGGGATATCAATAGCCAAATACCAACCCAAAAAATGCATGACGATCCAGACAAAGTAGGCGGCGGCATCTGAATGTTCGATGCGGGGTGCGGCGTTTGGAGATGGACTGACTGAGGGGAAAGAGGGAGGGGCGGGGGCTTTTGTTTTCGTTTTTTTTTTCGCCAGCATTTCGCAGCAGCAGCTAGTAGCTCTACGCCTTGGGGTTAATAAACCTTTTTCATGAATGGCATAGAAGAGACAGACAGTTTGAGTGGATATTGATGGTGAAATGCCGCGTAACTTTTAAGCCTCATGGTCAGGTTGAGGTACGTCAGCAGGGGGCTTCGGAAATCGGGTGCCTGTTTGGCGGCCCGTACATTTAAAGCTCGCCCATCGGTCTCAGGCAGGTCTACAAAGGGATGTTGGCTGGCTTGTCAGGGCCACATTCCTCAGAGATATCTTGGGTTTAAATACCAAACGACCATACCAAACACATACCTGTCCATCTTTAACTCCCCGCTGAAGAAGAAGCTCCCTCCGTCTCCGGTCTCAAGAGAAGCAAAGCGTCGCCGACCCCTGTCAACTTTGCTTGTCACCAGTGTTACAGCCACAGGTTACCCAATCAGCGCCTACGAAACCTAACTGAAGACCCCACTTTTTGGGCCTTGTACGTACCGGGAATCCGAAAAGACCAACGGTGCGCGGCGGGCGTCAGTGCTTTCGCTTCAGGAAAGTAAGGTGCTTGTTACGTACGACGACAGCTCTTTTAACTTTGGACTGCTCAACTTCTCTGCTAGACAGACAAAGAGCATTTTACTGCAACGCAACGACGTCTACCGCGATTAACGAGCCACGTTTTATTTTCCGCACCATTGAGATTTGGATTGAGAAGGGCGCAACATTGGGAATCGGTTGATCGTCGTCATCGTTTGAGAGGGAGAGAGTTGTCGCAACACGATCCACCGACCGCCAGAGGGATAATAGGGATAGCTAGCTATCTCCGAAGGAAAAACGACAAGACGAGGCAGGTTACGCAGAGCTTAAGAGGTTTTTGCGCGCGAAAGAAGGGATAGTCGGAAGAGTCGGGAATCGCTACAGCAAAAGCTATCCAGCTAGCTACATCCATCGAGCTCGAAGCACCACACCACCATTACACCGCGAAGAAGCACCACTCCCATCAACATATTACACACCACCCAACGGGTGAGCCACCGACAAAATGACTCTAAAAGAAGAATTCCAAACCCGCAACTTCAGTCAGTCCCCCCTCTTCCCCCTCCCCCATTTCCCCTCCCCCCTTAACCACCCCAACTAACTCTGTGCCCCATAGGCATCTACGGCCAATGGCTAGGCATCCTCTCCATGATCCTCTGCTTTGCCCTCGGGCTCTCCAACATTATTTCCAGCATCTTCTCCCTCAACATCATCATCATCGCCTTCTCCGTCGTCGCCATGGTTTTTTCTTTCGTCATCCTCTTCGTCGAAGTCCCGCTCCTCCTCCGGATCTGTCCCACTTCGTCCTCGTTCGACGCAGCGATCAGGAAGATCTCGACAAACTACATGCGCGCGGGGGCGTACGGGGTCATGGCGCTGGTGCTTTGGCTGAGTTGCATTAGCGCGAGGACGAGCTTGATTGCGGCGGCGGTTTTTTTGACGCTGACGGGGATGTGCTATGGGCTGGCGGGGGCGAAGGGGCAGGCGTTTGTGGGAAGTAAGACGCTGGGGGGGGCGGGGGTTGCGCAGATGATTGTATGAGGATTGGACGGGGGAAAGGGGGACGGGGGAAAGGGGGACGGGGGGAGGGGAGAAGGGGGGGGAAGGCTGGCTATGCTAGATTCAACATGGTTATTAGATAGATGAGGTTGGATGGTTAGTGAGGATGAGAAGGAGGAGAGGAGGGCATGTCAAAGTGATGTGGTGGAGAAGAAGAAGCCAGTCTAAAGTCCTTTTTTATATTGTTATTGCTGCTTGTTAACCCGTACTGGTTAGTTTCACTGGAAGAGAGGGCAGAGAAACCCAATCCTTCAATACGGGTACTGTCTTTACTTTTGCAAGGCAAGGAAAAGAGGGCGAGTTGGGGATATATGGTGTTACTGGCGCTGGTTTTCTTCAGTTCTCGGGTTGCGTTGTTTGTACTGTTAGCTTATCGATGCTAGGTGCTTTTAGGGTAATGAAAAAGTTCATTACTTTCAACGTGTTGGTGTTTTGGTGATGTGTTTCGATTTTATTAGGTGCAATCTACACGCCAGTCTCTCCCATTATTCTTCTTTTCCGTCTGTTCATCATTTGGCAAAATAGAGAGGGAATTCAGGCCGTTTTAGGAGGACAATTACGTCTCGATGTATTGCGGTCTATTCTCCTGTCTGTGTTGGGGAAAGGCAGTGTGCATAGAGATAGAGTAAGGTGGCATGGGTCCGGCAGGAGGGAGACTAGGTAGGTAATCAACGACATTGGAGGAGTGTGGTAAAAAAGCAAAAGAGAAAAGAGGAGAAAGGAGAAAGGGGGAGTGGTGAGGAAGTAAATAAAAAACAGATTTCCCACCACCGGGAACTGAACCCGGGACTCCAGGGAGTGTTTTCAAACACTTGGGATGGTTTGGTTTCTCGGGGTAAAATCTTGAAATACCTAGCATGGGATGCTAACCACTGCACCACCATATGGGACTCATCGCTTATCCTCCTCGTTTGATGGATGAACGTGGGAGGAGAGGAGGTGGTGTGTCTATGCTTGTCAAGGGGAGAGGCAAGGTGCTGGCAGGACGGACGATCGAAGGGGGGAAGGAGGTGTGGGAGCAGGCAGTACGGACTCGGATCGGGTCATGATGAGAAGCGTGGGGCCGAGTAGACCGGGCATAACAAGAGTCGAGAATATGGGCTGGTGGGGGCTGGTTGAATATGATGGTCGAAGACGTCCCTTCTAAGTGGACGGTGGGTGGTAGGGTTGAAGGGAAGAGCGGCTAGTACACAATCTGTCTCTTGTATGGACATATGGGGAGTTTGGCGGACTTGTCCTGTGTGCTGTCGACCCAAGGGGGCCGGGCCCGTCTTGCTCAGTACTTTGAGAGAGCTCATGAAATACCTTATATCACATCTCACCCACCCCCCACACTGCCCATCATAAGCAACTCACATACACCTCACCACCCCCACACAACCTTCAACGAACAAAAGTTTTATACCTCAGAAAAGAACGAATCATCTTTGTATTAAAATCAACTTTTACACCATCCCTCCTACTTCACCATGGTCAACGACCGTATTCTTCACACATAACACCTCAGTAACAACCGCTAAAGCTCATCACAAAATCCAAAACAGAAGCAACAAACGAGTGACTTCAATAACTCTCAAAAGAAAAAGTCATCATCATCACCACCTGTCTGATATATCCACCCCCAGAAAAACAATCACTTCTCCTCTGCAGTGGCCGACAGAACCGTGTCCTCCTTCTCGTCCTTCTCCACCTTCTCTTCGACGATCGTCTCACCAGCCATGTTGGTCACCAGAGACTTGACCGTCTCGACAATTCCCTTCTTAGGCTCGACTTCCTCTTCCTTTTCAGGTTCAGCTTCAGGCTTAGAATCTTCGGGTCTTGGTTCCTCAACTTTAGGGTCTGCTGCCTTTGGTTCCTCGGCTTTAGGCTCCTCGGCCTTTGGTTCTTCAATCTTGGGCTCTTCCTTTGGTTCCTCAACCTTGGGCTCTTCCTTGGGTTCTTCGGCTTTAGTTTCCTCAACCTTCGGTTCCTCGGCTTCGGGCTCTTCAACCTTGGCTTCTGGCACCGGTTCGGGCTTTGACTCCTCAACAACAGGAGCCTCCTCCTTCTTCTCCTCAGCCTCCTTCTTCTCCTCAGCCTCCTTCTTCTCCTCAACCTCCTTCTTGGGCTTCTCAACAGGTGACTCCGGCTCACCCAGACTACGATGCCCACCACCAACACTGAGATCGCCCTCTTCAGGATCAATCTCAAAGAAGGTAAACGCCGACGACACGTTAAATGTGACCGTCGGTTTGGACTCCGCCTTAGGAGGCTCCTGCTTAGCACTAGGAGCTCTTCGTTGCGGACCCCTCGCCCTCCCCTTTCTCGCATCCACCAACGGAACTTTCTCCTTCTTCTCCTCCTCTTCCTTTACTTCCGCTGCCTCCTCCTTCTTAACCGGCGCCTGAGGACCAAGCTGAAGACGTCTATTCAGATCATTCATGAATCCAGCCTGCAGCGCTGCGATCTTCCCGCCTACTGGCCTAGCCGGCACAGCTGGCTTTTGTTTAGGAGGCGCAGCCGCTTCAGCAGGTTCTAACCCGCCAGAGGTGGGACCAGCCTTGACTGGTCGGGCGGGAATGGCAGGTTTGGGGCGCCCAGGAATGGCAGGCTTGTGATCATCACCAGAGACCTTGGGCTTAGGACGGGAGGGAATCTCGGGCTTTTTGGCGGCAGTGGCAGGAGAAGATGTCTCAACAGGCGAGGGAACAGCGTCGTCTTGCTGAGGAGTAGAGACAGTTGTTTCAAGTTGGAGAGACTCGGGGGTGTCCTCCCAGACGTCACGGCTAGGGAAGCGGTTGCGCATACCAGGACGAGACGCAGACTTGGTTTCGTTGGCGAGATGAGGTTGCTGCGTAGCCCAGAGAGGCTTTGCGCTCCGACCAGGAATGAAGCCATCAGCTCCACGTTCCTTGACTTCCTTCTCGGCAAGCTCCTCCTGATGGCGGGCAAATGCCTGGGCGGGAGTCTCTCCATCCCTAGTAGGAGGGACGATGCTGGCGGCATGCTCGGCCTTGTCTTCACCTTCAAAGAGATCTGGGGTCGAGACCTCAGCCGTGTAGTAGACGGAGCTGGGTGCGTCTTCCCAGATGTCCGCGCTAGGGAAGCGCTGCTTCTTGACGCTCTTGGGCTTTTCCTCCTTGACGGGTTCCTTCTTGGGAGCCTTGTCGTCATCTTGGAAAAGAGGCTCATATTCCTCGACATCCTCAAGAGGAGTGGAACGGTGCTCAAACGAATGCTCCTTGTAAATGCTGGCAGGCCTGCTGGTGGGGCGGCTGGTGGGCTGTTCCTCGCTGGGAAGCTCAATAGCAGGCTGGTGAACATAGGGCGAGGGGTCCTTGGCAACTTCGTCCTCGGCGAGAATAGGCGCATCATAAGCTTCCTCCTCAATCGCGGGCGACTCGTTGTCGTTGAACATCACAGATCTCCTGCGGTTGGGCTCCTCGACGTGAATGACGTCACTAATAGAGGAAGCGCGACGGCCCTCCTTGTCCTTGTCGGAATCGGACATGACTGACGAGGGCTTCTTGGGAGAGGCAGGGCGAGGAGAGGCGACACGGGACGTCGACTCCTCCAAGGCTTGCCAGGCAACCTGGTCGGTGGGAGTGCCAGAGTAGTCCTTGACGCCAAGACCAGAGCCACGGGTGATAGTCTCGCGAACAATTTTGTTCAATTCCTCGCTGCTCATGGAGAAGTCCTTGACACGGTCGTAGTGGTGGAGCACATGTTCCTTCTTGAGAAGCTCGGGGTGCTTGTCAAAGTAGGCCTTGTCGAGTTTATCCTGAGGCCCAACACCATGACCATGCAAACCATAGCTTCCAGGGGGAAGGTTGCCACGGCTGGATGACCTGCGACTGTGGTGCTTCTTCTCAACAGTAGAGGGCGCAGGTGACGGGGCCTGGACATCGCCGGCATGTTTTAGCATGGGGACTTGAATGCCAATCTCGGGAATGCCATGCTCATCGTCGAAGTCGCTCTTAGCCGACAGCTGACTGGTAGTGCTGGCCTTCTTCTTAAGGCTTCGGTTCGAAGGCAGGGCGGCGGTGGAACCGTCGTTGCTGCTGGGTCTGCCGATACCAAAGGCAGCGGCTCGGTCGCTGTCGGTGCGGGTGACGGCCATCACACGCTGCTTTGCGCTGGCGGCAGGCAAAGACGGCTTGGGCGCATGGAGCTTAACATCCTCGCCAACGGTGCGGGTATGCTCAGGAGCGGTGCTCTCCTCGGTGGAGGGACTCGATTCTTGGGCGAGGTTGGCATATTCGGCACCCTCTTCGCCGAGTGAGGGTAGATCGACGGAGGTGGAACGAGGAATGGGTTCGGCATGGTTGCGGTCAGGATGAAGAGACTTGGACTTGACGAGAGGGCTTTCGTTAAGCGGCGAGGGAGCGAACCGGTCAGGGTTGGGACTTATTGAGCGCTGAAAGCGTCGGTTGGCAGGGCGTGGAGGGACCATTGGGGCGTCTGTTCTCTCTTGACTCCTAGAGGGTCTTGGAGGTATGACAGGAGGTTGCTGAGCCGTTGTAGATGACATGGTGGGCAAGCTCGGCGGAGGGTCAGGGCTGGTAGATATGCTGTGCGGTAGTGTCAAGGGAGGTGCCGTTGGTAGCTCGGTTGCGGTAGTGGAAAGAGGGACGAGCAAGTAGGACGGAGAGGATGGGTAGGATCGGGTTCGTGCGGAGAGCGGTACTACCAAGACAGTCGTATGTCTGGTGTCTGGGGAAGTACACTAAGGTAGCTCGTCTGGAACAACGGCAGGACTAGGTAGGTTAGCACATGCAACAGGAGATGTGCGAGATAAGCGCGCCCAACGGCTGAGGCTCTCGTCAATCAGACCCAAGAAGGGGCCCGGCGTGATAGCACGGTACTTGAGCTGCGCAGCCCTACAGCAGCAGATAACGAGTCACCGCCAGACCGACACAGATAGTGAGTGATGTGAAGGAAAACAGCTCAAGCTGATGCGGTTACATGACAGGAAGATGTGGCTCCGCGTTCCAGAGCGAGCTGGAGAAGCGGCACGCTGCTATGGCGGATGTAAGGTAAATGTGCCTCCTCCTGCTGCGACCAAGCAAACAGCCGGAATGGCCCACGATGTCGCACAATGGGGATCAACGAGTCGGCCATCTGCAACTGGCGCATGGTGGTTTGGCACACCGCTTGCATCTGACTTGGGGGAGGTGTGGTGGGAAAAGGGGCTGATGGAGGGGCAGATGCCCATGTAAGTGGAGGGCGCGAGTCAAACTTACTTTTCGTAGTCGATGCCGTCGTTGGAGACGAAGAACAAAAGAGACAATTGCGATTGAATGTTTATGAGATGCTGTGCTCAAACTGGGCGGCGCTGGCGGGCCACTTATATCGCTACTTGGATGCCTTCTTCGTCATTTGCTACAAATTCGGTCTCCAGGAGTGGAGTGTGGCACTCTTGTTCGTACTGTGCACCCAAGAAGCTCTCCAATCTCGTGGTCTGTAATTGACTCTACCTAATAAAGGAGGGACGTGGAGTCAACAGGTATCTGCACGTACTGCCTTGTACAGCTCAGCTCTCTCGCCCGATCACAGTAAGGCATGGCATCATCGACTGCCGTCACGCCTTGCCCCTTTCACACCTTCAATTTGATCGAGCAGCTCATCAAATGTCGAGAAGTCATCAAGGTACACAGTCTAGCAGCACGGACCCAGGCACCTTTTCCCCTGATCTGGGCTGAGGTCGGTCATTTCTTCCCCACCATTTCCCCACCTCGAGATGGGCATCCACCTGGCGTGCTGGCCAGGATGGCTGACAGAAGTTCTGTTCCTCACACCGATGAGGCCCGTCCTATTAATCGATGAGCTGTTCAGTCTAGCGTAGCAAAAAAACACCGTTCGGAAGAGGCTGCCGAGAACAGGTTCTCCAGATGGCGGGGTTTCCAAATCT